TTGGAATGGTGGGGACTGGTGTGTTCACTGCCCTTTTTGGAGTTGGATATTGGGCAAATGTACACATCTTTTATTACTATCTAATTGTACAAATGATGGCTGGATTGTTCCAATCCACAGGATGGCCTTCAGTGGTTGCAGTAGTGGGGAATTGGTTTGGAAAAAAGAAGAGAGGACTTATAATGGGTATTTGGAATGCTCACACCTCGGTCGGTAATATCGCGGGTTCTGTGGTTGCTTCATTATTGTTGAAGTATGGATGGGGTTGGTCAATGGTTGTTCCCGGTACCCTTATTGCTGTTGTTGGCGTGGTAGTATTCCTTCTCTTGCCGGTTAATCCTGAATCTGTGGGAGCTAATAAAGATGAAGATGAAGTGTTCTCTCCTAGAAAAGAAGGCGAGGAAGTAACCGAGCCTTTCTTGAGATCAGACGGAGAAGAGGAATCAGCCGTGGGTTTTATTGAAGCATGGAAGATTCCAGGGGTGGCGCCGTTTGCGTTTTGCCTTTTCTTTGCAAAGTTGGTAGCATACACATTTTTGTATTGGCTGCCTTTCTACATTAGCCACACAGGTATGCTGAATTGTAGTGTTTTATAACATTATTTTATCGCACCATATTAGTCGACAGTTTCTCTGAACTCTTTGTTACCTGTTGCAGCTATAGAAGGAAGGTATTTATCCAATGAGGAGGCTGGAAACTTGTCGACATTGTTTGATGTTGGAGGGGTAGTAGGTGGAATCCTAGCAGGTTACATATCTGACCGCTTAGATGCTAGAGCTATAACTGCTGCCAGCTTCATGTACTGTGCTATCCCGGTTCTCTACTTCTATCGCAGCTATGGACACGTCTCCATGACCATAAACATCATCCTCATGTTGATCACCGGAGTATTCGTGAATGGTCCTTATGCATTGATCACAACTGCTGTTTCGGCTGACCTGGGAACACATAGCTCTTTGAAAGGCAATTCACGAGCGCTTGCAACTGTCACTGCTATTATTGATGGAACTGGCTCAATTGGAGCGGCCATTGGACCACTTCTAACCGGTTACATTTCAACTAACAGCTGGAGTGGTGTATTTACAATGCTAATGGGATCAGCTTTTATAGCTGGTTTGTTTCTGACCAGGCTTGTTGTAGCTGAAGTGGGTGCCAAGATTCAAGAATTAGGGTCCCAAGGATCATCACCTACATCAAGGTCCCCTGACTTTCTAGTGTGAAAATAATAATTGTGGTATATTCTTTTATTGCTTTTTGTGAATCCATTTCGAAGCCTCGATTCGAATGTTAGCCTAGGATCATAGAGATATATAGAGTTGGAGATGCATTTCTTGTATAAAGTCAAGAAATGAAAGGGTTTCTAGTATCCTTGTGTACAGTGTGGGAGTGAGTTTAAAAGGTGGGGGATCACTCCCAATATCATGAAATAGCATTTCCACGTATGTACATTCTCGTGTGCCAGAAAAGGATCAAATACATCATTTTTAGTATAGTGGGAACCTGGGTTATTGGGCGTTTTGTATATCATCTTTTTATTATTATGATTATTGAATAAAGCCAGTGCATTCTCTCAAAAGTTTAACTATGTTGATTTACTTGAGTTTTTAAAAATTGAAGACAATCATTGAAAGTTGTATCCATAAAAAAATAATGGCTATGGTGGGACATCCATTCCTGATTGAACAGCTGACAAAGATGTGCTGCAATTTTCTTAATGAGTGAGAAAGCTTGTTTGAGTAATGGAAATTATTGAAGCTTTCATCCTGTTTCTATGGAAGGAAAAAAAGAATTTTTCTTTAAATAAAACCGTATATTCTTATAATATACTCTTCACAATAATATAGGACATTTATTAGATTGACATCTTGATTAGAGAAAGAAAGACCAAGCTCTATAAGTCAAACGTCATCACAAGTATGTGATTTTGCCTTTTCAATCAAATGATAAATGTTGTAACCCTGTACCTATTCATTCTTGGATGGATATATCTATATACTCGTGATGGTGATGGATATATCTATATACTCGTGGTGGTGAGACGAAGTGTAACGTAACAAATCTGGTTTGTATAGCCATATCTTTTAGTAGTGTAACCTTGATATGGTAGCCTTTTAAGTATAGTACTGTTTCTGCACTAATTTTTATGTTTGGAAATTTTGACATTACTTCAAATTGATATTATAGACAATGAAAAGATGAGTTTGGAGAGGTGCAATCTAAAAGATATTTCTTTTTCAATGCAATTCTATAGGTGACTTTTCTTATTTTCCATTCACATCAATGTGCACCTAATGATAAAATCAATTAATACTTTCTTTTTTTAACAACATAAAATAACTAATTGCTTCATATCAACCACAAATTTATAATTACAGACCTAAGACTAGAAGAATAGTGGTGGGGTGGAGAGTAAAAAATCTTAATCAAATTGAGCAATAAAATATGCTTTATCACCTAATTAACTTAGAGCTATTGATTGAGGAATATAGACTAGTGGATATCTACTTGAATTAGATTCATTATAGAGATCACCACAATATTTAAACTTATAACCAATTTTATATATATAGTTAATGAGCAATAATTAAGAAAGTTTACACATTCTAGCTTACTTAAGCAACATAATAGGATAATTGTATTTTTCTAATCATGGACCACTCCTATCTTGCTTATTTTATTAGAACTTGGACAAAATTTTGTTTATAATTTCAAATAAAGGGGACCACTCTTTCTTCTATTCTATTCTTTTTTTTTTGGTAGGTTCAATCGAGGTAGGTTACGGATCAGAGTACGAGTTCAATCTAACTTAGTAATTTTTATTAAAATAATATTTTTATATTAAGAAATTTATTAAATATATATGAATATTAAGTTCAGAATTCACTTAATAATAATTTGAAACATCGTTAAAAATTTTTAAAAATTACAAGATCAATATATTTTTTTAAACCCTAGGATATTCCGCACCTGCTACAACCTCTTTCACAATCTCTGTCTTTCGAATGAACATGATGTGCGGGTATTCAAATTAATTTGTCATAGTCTTATGTAAATTGCAATGACAACAAAAGAATAGGACCTTTGACAGTAGCTTAAAGGACCGGAGGTACGTGTTTACAGTTACAACCAAGTTTCTAGTTGTTATTGATGTATACCAACCATATTTCTCGTGCAAAAATTGTCTCTTCAAAGCAGAAACAGCCAGTTGAACTCTAACTAGTATGATAGTTACATCTCCATCATATTATCAAATAACATTAATTTGTTTGGGGTGATAAAATTAGCTCGTAAAATTATGATCCGGTCAATCCAACCCCAAACGATTCACATCAGCGACGTAATTGCATACGTCTTAACTTGTACTTTCATCCGTCCTCTTGCGGTATTTAATTGGACATAGAGTTTAAGAAGATTTTTTTTTTAAAAAAAAAGAAACAATAAATATATCAAAATTAAATATAAAAGTTAAAGCTAAAATTATTATAAATAAAGAAGCACTCTATTCGTTTTGAGTGGAAAAAAGAAGAAGAAAGCATGCCATACAACAATTACAAATAATCACTTTTCAGCCTGGTAATTAAAAAATAAGTATCACGTTAAAATTTCTAGCTTTACTAGTGAAACTCCCGGATATCATTCCTGAATTTTACTTGTTAAAGCAAAACTCTACGACAATAACTATTTTTAAGATCAGTCGAAAAATTGGGTAATTGTTTTGTTAATGATGTCAAAGCGATGCTAGAAATGAAGAAGAATCGAAGTTTTACAAATATGTTGGTTATGTATGAGCCCAATGTATGAGTCAGGCCTGATTGAACTAAGATCAGATAACCAACATAAATGAATTCAGACAAAGGAATGTTTTGGACTTTGAGACTAGTCTTTCTTAGGGCCTATCTAATGACTAGTGCCAGCTAAAAATTGGGCTTCTTGCGTAATAAAATGAGGAATTGATACGTGTAGACAAGTATTACGTATAATTAACAATATATAACTCAATATTAATTAGCAATTAATAAACAGATAAAAAATGGGAAATTTTCATAAATGACTATAATAGGAAACATAATAGGTCTTCTTAACTATAGTTTAACTGTTTACGTATTATAGCTATAGTTTAAATAGCTGCTATTATTTTTATTTGTATATTTCAGACTTATTCAAATCGTTTATACAAATGGTTCCATTATTTGTGTAACTAATCAATCGATAATTAAGGAGAATATTAATATCATAATCTTAGAGTCATTAAGTTTAATTAGAATCCATTACTTAGGTTTCCTTCTTATTCCAAATACACAGAGTACTCAAATCTTTTAGTTTGTTAAATTTATTGTGGGTTTACTCATTTATCTCAAATTAAGTAATTTACATTAAATGTGATAGTTTGTATATGTATACAATTTGAACTCTATGTATTCTACAGATTTTATACAAATTGTTGTGCAAATTAAGTCAATAAATTTGTATATTAAATGAGAACGTTTATACAAATTTGTTTATACAAACGAGCACGTTTATAACTTATATAAATTTATATATTTGAAAAATTCTTTATAACTTATATAAATTTTATACAATTCGTTATGTATTTTAAATGAAAAAAATCGCATAATTGAGAAATTTGTGATTAGTTATAACAATTTGTATATGCTAAGGCTTGTATTTATACATTATACAAATTTTTATACAAGTCGTTATGTTTATACAAAAATTTATACAAATCATTATGAAATTTTAAGTCAATAAATTGTATAAATGAGAATGTTTATACAAATGAGCACATTTATAACTTATATAAATTTGTATATTTGAGAAATTCTTTATAACTAATACTAAAATTGCACAATTGAGAAATTTGCGATTAGTTATAACAATTTGTGTATGATAAGACGTGAAGTATACATTATACAAATTGTATACAAGTCGTTATGTATTTTAAGTCAAAATTTGTGTATTATTGAGTAATTTGCGACTAGTTATAGCAGTTTGTATATGATAATGCGTACATTATACATTATATTAATTTTATACCATCGTTATGTTTATACAAAAATTTATGTATTCTACGGATTTTACGCAATTTGTTATGCTTGAACTGAGCAAAATATTCTATTTCACAAAAGCACTTTAGTTGATCTTCTGAAAGTTTTTTCGGCCAGATCCTCCATTACGTCCACATTCGTATAACATATAATGCTTGGGGCTTCTCTTGGACCTTCATTGACTATAAATTGGACTCCCTAATAAACATCATTAACTTCTTTAAGTAAATAATTATATTTATATAACTAACTCAGTTCGATTTGTATATCTTTAACATTACAATAACACATGATTATTTATACATCTACTGATACTTAATAATGTAATATATACAAATTACTGAACTAATAATTCATCTATTGTTTGATATACAAGTTAAATTGTCCATATACAAATCGAAGAAAAAATCAAAAATAGGGTACCTCAAAATCTTTTGCTTCCTACTTGTCCCTTGCAACATAATCATCTTCTCCACTCGTTTTTGAGTTTGTTTTACTAGAAGATGTTTCTTGTAATTTTTTTTAGATTTGACAATAGAACCTGCAATTGCTTCAAAATCTTAAGTAAAACTTAACCAAAAAAATGGATTTTGTGCAGATTCAATTGCAAACAAATGTATACCTATAGTAATTCTCTTTGACGGAGTGTTCCTCCTTGACTACGCTAGTAGGGATTACTATTCCAATCTATTACAATTTTTGGTTGAAGAACTGTGAAGAAGTTGGGTAGAACGAAAATTATACAAAGAGAAATAATAAAAATACTGTATAAAATAAAAAAAATTACCTGAAATTGAATTGAACAAGAATTAATTTCAAATTTTCAAAATTTAAATTTAATTTGGTTGAGAGATTTGTGGGGATTGAGGGGTTTATGGTGGTTTAGAGAATTAAGGAGATAATTAAAAAAAGTGGAAGAAAGAGATTGAGTGCAAGTTTGTATAAAATGATAATTAATGATTACACGTTCAATAAAATAGAAAAGTGGATCCATTATGACCATTTTCTAAACAATAACCCTTTGATATAATTAATTTAAACTATAGTCATATGTCATAATTAAGTAGTAAAAGTTAGTTTAGTTATATAATTATCCCATAAAAAATTGGTACATATTAGCCTAAAAGTAACTTATCGACATTATTTATTTATTTTTAAACAATAAAAGATTTTTGATATCATCCCTCGTCTAACTTCTAACTATTACTCCTTAAAACTAGCAAAAGATTATTTAAAATTGTCTCTCCTTCAAATTATTACTACTTTTTGAAATAATAAAAGAAAATTAATTCATCTCTTTTCTAACTTCCAACAATTTCTCCTTAAAACTAGCAAAAGATTATTCAAAACTCTTTTCTTTCAAATTATTTTATATTTTTTTAAAAAAAGATAAAATTAATACCATCTCTATTCTATCTTCAACTGCTTTCACTTAAAACTAGCAAAATATAATTTAGAGTTATATCTTTTTCTTAAAATTAACAAATAATATTTTGATCATGATCATTCTTATTCCAAAGGTATTATTTTGCCTTTGAACTCAATTCATATTCCACTTAAAAATTTTGTATACATTTTGTTTGCATTAGTACTCACTCATCAATATTCATGTAATAGATTGACATACATTTGTATTGGATACATTTGTTTGTATTAATAAATTGGTATATATTTGCATTTAGTTACAGTAATATTTTTCAAATTTTATATAGGTATACATTTATATATTGGATTCGTTCGTTCATATTCATTTATAAATTGGTATACATTTGTTTGCATTAATATCTTTCTAATTTTACATTTGTATTATATACATTTGTTCGTATTCATAATAAAGTGATATACATTTGTTCGTATTTATAATAAATTGATATACATTTATTTGCATTAATATTTTTCAAATTTACATAGATATACATTTGTATTGGATACATTCATCCATATTTATTTATAAATTGACATACATTTATTTGCATTAGTATCTTTATAACTTTACATTGCTTGAATTACTATTTTGGAATGCAATCAACAAAATTCATTAATATTTATTATGCGTTCGTTTGTATTCATTAACAAATTTAGATACATTTGTTGGAGTCAAAATAAATATTCATCATCAAATTCAATCAATAAAATTCTATATTTTTAAAACTTGTCATAAATGTATAAACTAATTATTTATTAGAAATTGAGAAAATCTCAATTCAAGAAATCACGATGTATTAAAAATTTTTAGGGAGGAAAACGTTGCAAAAAAATATAAATACAATAATTTGTAAAAAGCAAGATAAAGAATTTAGAAAATCTCAATTTTTCAAAAATATATATTTTTTAAAAAAGAATTTGACTATTTAATGTCAAATAAATATTTAAAAAATCTTTTTTTACTAAAAAACTTAAAGTGGATTATTTATTGCCAATAAAGTCTATAGATTGTCTTATTGTGCCATTTTTTCTAGTAAAATGGATAAATTACATAACACAACATTATTTCACATATTTTCTATTGTTCCCAACCCTTTTTAAATATTACTAAAATTCCCTTTTTACTCCAGTAAACCCAACTTCCAAATACATAATATGATTTTTATCCTAACCCATGTTTATCCCTTTTCACCCCTTAAATCACTATCCTTTTCACTCCCACAATCTTATCTATTTATTTTCTCAGTACAATTTTAAATTTTAAGATCTTCTCTCTCTAGTCAATAATCCATCTAATGTTGTTTCAAATTTTTTCACTCACAATACATATTATTTTTTCTTAATTAAAATTGTGATAAATTATGAATGATACACCTTCATTCAGTATTGAGATTATCCAGATAATGTCATTTAACACCAATCGCATTATAATTACGAAAAAAATAATGGATAGAAAATAGATCTAAAAATTGCACAATCCTTTCGTAATGGTGAAACATTAAGAAGATGAAGAAGAAGGATAGTCAATCTTCTTCAAAAGTGTAGTCGATAAAGTCCCAAAATGAGGTGTCGAAAAATCGCACCAAGCAATATCTTGACATCCTTTACCTAAGGTAAGATTTTCGATCTTTTTATCAATTTTTGTGATCGTTAAACTTGATTTTGTTAGTTCAATGATTTTATGATACATTAATGATTCAATAGTTTTTTAATATTGAAACTTAACAGGATTTTTAGTTAGTTTTGTAGATGATTTGACTTTGTCGAGAATGATTGCGCGCTATCTCAAACATCCTTCTTCCTAAATTATACAATTAAAATCATGGAAAAATTACGTGGGATGACAAACATCCTTAAGTAATTAGTTAATAAGGGTATAGTTTAATTTATTTACAGTCAATAAATATAGTTTTAATTTTTTTACCATAATTAATGGGACCCACTATTTATTTGTATACGGAATAAAAATAGTCAGATGTTGTATATAATTTTATACAAAACAAATTTATCTCTCCTATTCTCATCTCATATATTTCTCCTAAAATCACTTTTTCCTTCTAATTTGATTTTCGAATTGGGATAAATTTAAGCTTCTCCCTCCAATTGTGCTTTCACTTTTCGCAGGTAAGTATCAATTTCATGGCTTTCAATATAATTCATTCTTCAACAATTGTATATGTAGTATGCTTGTTAGTTTTTTCATATATTTTTTATTACTTATCATGTACAAGTCTTTCAAAATCAGAATGGATGATTCCACTCCATCTATGAGAATTACGAGAGCTATGTTATTGCATGTCAATGTTGTTGATAATCCACCCTCATTTCAATTGGGTTAACTCAGAATTGTGGGGTCAATGTAGGGTCTATGGCAAAAGATAAGCAAGTTCAAGTTGAACAATCTATTGAAGAATTGAAACCCAAGAAAAAATTATGACCCAATGGCAATTTAGAAAGTCATCAACAATGCGAAATTTAGTGACATTTAGATTGTTGAAGGTGAAAGTAAGAGAAACGCCATAAACATTGATTCAGAGGAAATTGAATCTGCCTCATCAAAAATGCACAAATCTGAAGAACATCAGGTAATATAATTTATATATAAATTACTAAAGTTATGTATATAGTGGGTTGTATATTAAGGTAATATATACAAACTATTATGAGACAATTGTTATTTATATATTCTATTAGTCGTGTACCAATTACTAAAGTTATGTATATAGTGGGTTGTATATCAAGGTAACATATACAAAGTCTTATGAGACAATAGGTATTTGTATACAAATTCGTCGATATATAAAAAAAAACATAAACATAATAAAATATTGTATATATAAACATTACACACTCAAGTATACAAACAAATTTCAAGCTTACCACATATACAATTGACAATGAATATTATACAATCAGTGTACTCATTAATTTTTTTTAAAAAATATGAAATTACTGATGCACTTATGCACATATATAAATATAATACATATACCAAAATTATTGTACATTATACAAATTCTTAGATATATACAAAAAAAAATAGGAATATAATAAAATATTGTATACAAACAGACTACACAAAAAATTAAAAACAAATACATATTATGATGGTTACACATACCGTTATTAACACATAAAAATTACACACAAATATTGTATAAAAAATTATATACAATTCATCAAATATATACAATATAAGCAATTTATATATATATATATATACAAACAGGGTCATTAACGCCTGACTGTTTCATAGATTTATCTAAAAGAAAATTTTAAAAAATATTTAAATGCTTCAGTTGTGTGCTTTAGAATTGATATTGCCTTTCAATTGCTTTAGAATTCTCTTTAAGGAAAATATTTGATTTTGCACGTTTTGTTTAAATCACGAGATTGTGTGAATTCATTGTTACTATCTTTTGTGTTGTTGTTACCATTTACTGAAAAAAGTAAATTTTTGTATAAATTTAAATAAAAAATGTTTTATACAAATTTAAAGTTACCTAACAAACTAAACTATACCCATGGAATGTAATTATGTAAACTATACCTATAGAATGTTCTTTCATAAAATATGTTTGCCATATATGAAATTTTTCCTAAAATCATCGTATGTATATGTAATGTAATTGATATTATATAGTTATGGATATATGAGAGAATTATGCGGTTAAGTAAATTTCTATTATTTAATTAGTCATGGTAGCTAATTTGCTATAATTATCACTTGTGACTAGCATCAACTGTTAATTATGTGGGTTGATTTGAGTTTGTATAATTAGTCAAATTTGTATATTTGTCATAATTATGTAATTCGTAACTAACAATTCTTTGTTTGGTTTGTATTTGTATACGACTATGATTTTCTTTGATTTTTCAGTTTTATCACCATATACATCTTTGTGTGTAAAACTTTTTAAAGTTTGTATAAACGTGTAGTTTTTGAATTTTGTATAATACAATATATATATATATATAATGTAAATTGTATAATATAATAATATAAATTGTATAATATAATTTGTATAAGTGTTTAAATTAAAGTTCATATATTTATCTTTGTATCAAATCGTTATTTTGAGTTTTATCATATTTGTATAATTCTAGACTTTATAGTACCAAATTATACAAAAATATACAAATTATTGCCCTCTCTCGCTCACCTCTCTCCTTCCTTTCTCAATCTCTCGCGCCTCTCTCCTCCCTCTCCCAATCTCGCTCGCCTCTCTCCTCGCGCTCCCACTCTCGTGCACCTCTCTCCTCCCTCTCACAAATTCGCTCGTCAGATATACAAATACATATGTATACCAGTTACATATATATAATTATCTAACTAGTATACATATATAATTCACTTCTCTCCCACTTTTTGCCCTCTCTCGCTCGACTCTCTCCCTCCTCTTCCAATCTAGCTCACTACTCTCCTCCCTATAACAAATAATTACAAATTGTAATTAGCAAACCATAGTTGTTGAACATAATTAAGCTATTTTTAAGTGGTTATATGCAAAAGTTCTCATGTATATAATGTATAATTATGAATCTCATGTATAT